CAAGGCAAGAGAGCTCGCAATCCCTTCACCTTCGCCATGTGGTCTCTCAGTGTTCAGAACCCAAAAATCTCAATTGCACTGTTATATGTTTCCCCACACATAATCAAGCATGAAACACTGCAGGATTTAACAATTCTGTTAATTCCTTGAACTCTCACGTTAAGGACGCCTCAATGCCTGCCTTTTGAAGTGGCAGTAGCACAGAAGCCAAAGGTTCGCTTACACTACTGAAATTTGTTTTAAAGTAGTTTAGTAGCCTTGCGAATTCAAAGCCTCTGGAAGTGAATTAGCTTTTATAATGGCTAAAGGTTAACCGATATTTTGCTTATAATAGCATTTTAAAAGTCAAGGAGAGATTGATGTTACTTAAATTCGTAAGCAAAAGTAAATGAACTCCACTAACGTGAACTTTCGGCGTAGGTGGCAATCCAATCCCGTGCTCCATTTGGTATTGCCGCTCTGCATGCCTTAATCCACACTTCTCAAAGTCTGTCAACAAACCACAGGCCGTATCAAATTTGGGCGGGGGCGGACGAGGCGGTGGTACACCCGTCCCCGTCCCCTTTGTTTGATACTCTCCGTTACCCTCGGATAACCGATTTGCATCATTGTCATCGGTGTTCACAGAAGAAATGCCGAAATCATGCGTCGGTTGTTGTGACGACGCAGATGAGGTTGTATTAGTGATGGGACCTGGAGCAGTGGCGCATGACTGGCGAGCCGCAGCCACCGAGGCAACAGCCTTGAGAGCCTCACCTTTGGGAGGAAGAGGCGGAGGAAGAGGAGCCCGACGCTTAGAGCGCATTCGAGACAGACCCTCATCATTGAGAGCCGGTGGGAAAACCAGTCCGTTTGTCTAAAGTGGATCAATTTTGATGCCGCATCAAAAAAAAGGCCCAGTGATGACTATTGTCTTATCAGTAAAGAGGAGGCCCTAGACAGGCTTAAGATGGACATACAGAAATAAATTGACAAAATCCGAATCAAGCCAACACAAACAAACAGTCGTTAGACAGGCAATATGGTGGTTATCATTTTGTTAATAGCCGAATGGATCGGTTTTTTTTTTTTTTCATTCCACGTAGACACGCCAAAGGAAATACTCAACGTGCAAAGCCCTGGTTTGCTGTGTTTGCCAAGTTGGCAACCATAAACAGAACCGATGAGACACCGGATCAGTCGTTTCTTTTTTTCTTCTTAAGCCTAAATCACCCCAAAACCGCCTATCCTCACATGCTTACAGCTGAAGTTAGCAATGTTTCAGCCACCACCCACCCACCCACCTTACTCTGGTGCACAACGTGTCAGTGACACCACGTAAACGTAGCCAAGCGAATATGAGCGAAAATAAGAATATCAGTAGTTGGCGAATCGACGGTGAAGGTTAGGTTGAAAGGGTTGCATTGAGAGTGTTCATGCATGTAGTTCACAATAAAAATCCCAGACCAGGAGCCACAAGAAAGTGAAGTGAAATTGGGCAAGAAAATGGTAAAGAACGAATAAAAGATCAAAAGTTACATCCAAGGTGCATCAATCCAGCTAATTTGTAAGGAATACATTCAATCGTTCAGACACTCACCTATCAGAGAGTCAAAAATGGACAACTTACTGCACCAAAATCCTCACTGTCTTCAAAGTTCTCCGATTCGTAGAAGCTCAGTCGTCCAGCCTCTTCAACCATCTCCATTTCCGATTCCCTACAAAAAAGAAGAGGCGAGTGAAGCAGCCTTGCCAGAGATCACCACTACTTTTGCAACTTTATAGTTCAACCCAACTCCCATAGGAAGTTCAACTGGTCCTCCAGGAAGAATGCCACACCAACATCGCAGAAGAAGGTGCGTGCCAGAGATGATGAATTCACAAAAGTGTCATCAAAGTTACAGCCTCCGACATCAGACGTTTACTCTAGAACTTCCCAACGCATTTACATAAAATGTGTTTACTCCACGAACGCATAGTGCCTTCAAGAGTCAAATAGCCAAATGCAATCCAGACGGACGTTTGGACGACGTGAAGAGAGGAATAGAATGAATTCTAATTGTCCTTCCCATAAGTGAATTTGCTTTTATGAAAGGACTACACAGTGAGTAGGAATGAATCTTTATTGTGGTACAAAACGTCAAACGCTGACGTCAAATATTGCCCCCGCTTCTACGCAACTTGCATTCCTGAACAGTGGACAAGCCTTAAACCCTCCAACTACGGCTACAGGGAAGGAGATTTAAGTTAACTACCAAAACGCAGACTTTCTAATATTCTCTTGATGGCATTGGAGTTGCATAACGTCTTCAGCGGTACCTAGAACGCCACAACCTGATTAATGACACACACACACACACACACACACACACAGAGAGAAAGAGGGGAGAGAGAGAAGAAAATCTGGCTTCATTGCGTCACAACTCGTACGTGTACACGCATGTAAATGTGATCACTGAAAATGGCCTGTGCAAACAATGAAGACCCTTGCTCGTACATATGAGACTGAGAGAATGCAACAGAGGAATGGAAGGAACTTACATCATTCCATCGTTGGGGGAGTAGAAGAGTTTGCTCTGTCGCTTCTCGTATTCATCCAGCACTTCAGCAACTAAGTCCTGTGATGGGAGGAGGAGGAGGAGGAGGAAAAACAAATCAGTGCCTTTCTGACAGTAAATACACAAATTAGGCGGAGTATGCGGTGCAAAAACAGTGCAGTCATTTGAAATGCAAAGGTCATGTTTACTTTGGCTATTGGTAGCAATGAAAAACTAGCTGATTGCCATATTCTTAACACGAAAATAAAGAAGCCGCGACTGCTGCTTGAGTTTAAGAGTACAAATTGTTTGTTGAGGAGGCAATTATGACCTGGATGCATGAATGAAGTGACAACAGGAATGAACTTGATTCATCTCCCATTTAAGTAGTATGTGAGGATCAATTTGCATACAGTAATGCCGTCATTCCATAAGGTGTGCGATTTACGCATGATGCAAGAGAAGTTCAAGAAAGTTGAATAAAGTGCTTCCAACTTGTAAAATGTGGGACTTAAAAATGCTTTAGTGGAATCAATGCTAACACCTTTAAAACGAACGCCACACAAGACACTTTGGGCATTCTAGTAAAAGCGACAGTTTAAACTGCGCCTACACACTACCAAAGTCTGATAGGTCTTGATTTGGTCTTTCAAAAGAAAAAGTGTTTCCCAATTTGGTCAGTTAAACACGAAGGCTGTGAGCAAAAGTCTGACGAGTTGACATTTTGTAAGACCGCAAGGCAGTGGGTCCAAACAACAAACCTTACCAAAAGCCCGAACAATCCTATTAGAAACGGCGCCTCACAATTTGGAGGGGAATTTTAAAGTGCTGAACGTATCCACCACAAATCACGTACGATGTAAAAGATAAGTTAATCTTCACACGCAGCGTTAAGTGAATCACTTAACACAGTGCTCAGGTGGTGGTGGAGACTGCTGACATTATAAGAGAGAAGATAGTCCTAAAAGCGAGCTAGTC